CAAGTTTTCGAAGAGATTTGGAGGCTGAATATGTAACGGATAAAGACATTGGTTTCTCCGTCGGACTTGGCCCAGATGGTGTTTGGCAGAACATTCGGTCATTGCTTCCATTGTCAGTTGTCCCAAAATCGTTACAGAATGGTTTCATGGCTTTGAAATTTGTTATGAAAAATGGCAAGAAGCATGCAATTTTCAGGGGTCTTGCAACAGTTGTAAATGAGACCGCTGTTAAGTTGAAAATTTCATTATGTCATGCATCTCGAATTCAAGGTCGTGATTCCTCTCTTGGAAGAAGTGAGAGCATAAATCCTGGGAGTTCTTTTATTTTGCCTTGGAGAAGTACTAGTGATTCTGACCAGTGCTGACAAATATGTCTTTCTGTTGATCATCCTCAGCCTCCAAATTCATGGGGTTCTCTCGCGGCAATGGGTATCGGTTATACATATGGAAAGGACCTGACTGTTATAGATCAGGTTTCACTTTCTAGACAATATACTTCAAAGCAGGAAAATAAGATGCCAAATGTTACTTTCAAGTTGAGTCAGCTTGAGAAGAAGGATATACTTTTGTGTTGTACTAGTACCATAAACAAACAATTTTGGCTTAGTGTCGGGGCGGATGCCTCGGCACTTCATACTGAACTGAATGCACCTGTTTATGACTGGAGAATATCTGTCCATTCTCCTAGGAAGTTGGAAAATCGCCTTCCCTCTCCGGCTGAATTCACAATCTGGGAAAGAACACTAGACGGAAAATGCGTTGAACGACAGCATGGTATTATCTCTTCACGTGGGGGTGTACATGCATATTCAGCAGACATTCAGAAACCTTTGTATCTGACGTTGTTTGTCCAGGGTGGTTGTGTCCTGGAGAAGGTACTAGCTCTGTCTAAATATAAGTAACATGCTTGTTATATCTACATACCATTGTGAGTTTAATAACTATGGTTCCAATGACCATGTCTCATCATTCTGGATGGTTCACCAGAAAAGTAAAAGGTTTGTGCTTCCGAGAAAAGATTTCTTTGATATTTTTTGTTTGGTGTTGTCAAAAGTTGTTATTGTACTGTTGTTCCCAAAAGCTCAACCTGTTAGGATATAGGCAGATTCATATAATATTCAACACTCCTCCCTTGTGGATTTCTATCTACCAACATAAAGCCCAATACGTAGTTTTCAATGTACATGTGGAGGTTTTAATTGCAAGGATTCCAACTATGAATCTCTTGTTATGCTATGTTAGGTTTTTACCATATGGGCCAAATTTTGTTTTATACTTTTGTTCTTTTTCTACTACTATGTTTTGGTGTACACCCAGCTATCTGGATTAGGCTAAATTGAATATGTTTTGGTGTTCTCATCTCAACTTTGTTTATGTTCCTTATATATATCGTGAACCCCATCAGTTATGCTGGAAATAATTTTTGTATGATGTTTCCTCATATTTTTTGTTCTACACTTGTGTACCATTTATAATGTTCTACTACTAGTGACCCCCAACTAGCTGTTATCTCTAACTCTTTCTTATTGGAAAATTTAAACATTTCTTGTAACTAATATAACAAGTATTTTATTAATTATCACATCCATGATCTCCATTACTATATATTTGCAGGAGACTGCGCGTGAGTATTGAACGTGACATGGGAGGAACCACTGTTGCACCCAAAACAATAAGATTTTTTGTTCCATACTGGATTACTAATTATTCATCTATTTATTTGGCATATCGAGTGGTAGAAGTAGAACCTTCAGACAATGCAGATACGGACTCCCTAATGCTTTCTAGGGCAGTCAAGTCTGCAAAAACAGCCTTGAGAAGTCCCACAAACTCTATGGACAGAAAGCATTCTGCCACAAGGAGAAACATCCAAGTACTTGAAGTTATTGAGGACACTAGTCCTGTTCCTAACATGCTTTCTCCACAAGATTATGCCAGCCGTAGTGGGGCTTCTGTTTCCATCTCAAAAAGATGTGTATTTGTCCTCGCGAGTGGGGCTTTCTGTTGCCATTCATCCTTCAGACATTTACAGTCCTGGGATATCTCTTTATGAGCTGGAAAAAAAGGTGATTTCAATAGAGCATCAAATTGTATTAGGATATCCAGTTTCCTTCTCACGAGTATTGCTTCACACTTGCTGAAATTTGTTCTCTATCATATGATCTTTGAACTTTCTTTTCCAGGAAAGGCTTGATGTAAAAGCATTCAGTTCAGATGGATCCTATTACAAGCTTTCAGCGAGACTGAGCATGACCTCAGACAGAACAAAGGTTGGATTAAATATCTTGTGACTTAAATCTTTAATGTTTCTCCACTGATGAACTGCTAGGAAGAATGTGATGAGGGACTTGCCAAATTAGTCCGTAAAACATTAGCTCTGAAGCCTGTTTACAGAAAATAAGATGACCCGCCTTAAGAAAAATGATGAAAGATTATCTTCACCGGGCCATCTGCATGTTTAGAATGGAGAGAAGGTTCCTTACTCCTTAGTAAAAGCTGTTGTTATTAGTCCCAATTTTTTGTGCTCGATGGTACTGATAAGATATGCATTTGTCAAGTTTCTTTGGTATATGGTAATAATAATAAACAACTGCTCAATGGTTAATATTCAGGATGTGCACTTCCAGCCCCACACCTTGTTTATTAATAGAGTTGGTTACAGTCTCTGCCTGCAACAATGTGATTCTCAGTCTGTGGCATGGATTCATCCCACAGATTCTCCAAAGCCTTTTTGTTGGCAGTCTAGTGCCAAAGTTGAACTGTTGAAGGTCTTTTATAATCATTATTAATCTCTCATGTTCGCTAATTATGCATGAATAGTATACATCATCTGAATCCCATATGGGATTTATTCTTCTTATCAGGTGCGGGTGGATGGTTACAATTGGAGTGCACCATTTAGTGTTTGTAATGAAGGTATCATGCATGTTTGCTTGAAGAAGGATGCCAGAAATTATCTACTTCAATTTCGAATAGCTGTAAGAAGTGGAGCAAAGAACTCAAGCTATGAAGTCATTTTCCGTCCAAACCCTTCCATGAGTCCTTACAGGTAACAGTTCACTATGTCTTATGAAAGCCTGTGAAATGGAAAGAGAGAATGTAGTTCTCATAAGGTATCATAAGATAAGAAAAATAATTCTTTTTGACTAAAGTGAAATTTGTTGAACTTGTAATGTCTGTTCATATGGAAGTTATCTCAGTACAGTACAATAAATACATACACATGGTTTCTTCTCCTTTACTTGTATGCATGTCTTCTTTTGTTTTTTGGTCCACTGCTGATAGTTTTCTATCAACGGGATTGAAAATCGTTCCATGTTTCTACCCATCCGAATTCGGCAAGTGGATGGTACCAATGATTCATGGAAATTTCTTCTTCCCAATACAGCAGCTTCCTTTTTATGGGAAGATCTTGGCAGAAGACATTTATTAGAGATCCTGGTAGAGGGGGAAGACCCAATAAAATCAGAGAAGTATGATATATCTGATCACCAACCCATTCATGTGTCCTGTTTTCAGGTTCAAACTTAGAATGCGAGGGATACAATTGGATAACCAGTTGCCCCTTACTCCAACACCTGTTCTTTTTAGACCACAGAAAGTTGGAGAAGATACTGGCTATATCTTGAAACTTTCAATCACAATGAAATCAAATGGGTCGCTAGATCTATGTGTCTATCCATATATCGGTCTCCAGGTAAGTATAAGAAAGTTATCATTTCCCAATAGAAGGTTTTCTGATTATTTTTTCTCCAATTTATATTTAATTATATGCAACTGATTATTCAGGGACCTGAAAACTCTGCCTTTTTGATATACATTCATGAGCCAATCATTGGCGCCTTCATGAGATGATTCAGCAGGTCAACCTCAGTCGGTTGTCTGATACTCAACAACTACTGTTTCTGTTGATCCGATTATTGAAATTGGGTATGGATGGACTTCTAAAATTGTCTTTTCATTGTTTTTCACTACATTTAGTCATAATTCCCTTAAATAATGCTACTTGTACTTGCAGAGTTCTTAGCATTTCAGAGGTTCGATTCAAAGTGTCAATGGCTATGTCACCTAGTAAGCGGCCAAGAGGTGTCCTTGGATTTTGGGCATCTTTGATGACTGCGTTGGGGAACACTGAGAATATGCCAGTGAGTGTTGGTATTCTTCCTCCAGCTGTTTTGTGATTTCATGGTTTTTTATTATTTTCTGGAATTCATCCTAGAAGATTTTGTCTGGCCTAAGTACTTACATATGTTATTTTAGGTGAGGATAAACCAAAAGTTTAACGAGAACGTGTGCATGAGGCAGAGTTACGTGATTGCTTTAGATTGTCATTCGAATTAATATAATTTCACATGATTGCTTAAAATAGAATATAATTAATGGCAAAGGTCTTTTTGGTTAGGCCTGTGCACGATGTTTTATCATACATACAATTTTTTAAGGTTGCAACAGTGTTACGTTCTTATGATACATGTGAGGGATATAAAACAATTATTGGTCTGCATATTTTTGTGGGAAGTTGTTATTGATTTTTTTAAATTAACTAGTTCAAGTAAATTTGTTTATATATGGTAATGAAAATAGCAAATGCAATGTACCATACTCTCCTTGGGTTGTACTTTTCCAGCTCTTGCTCATTGCAATTTCGACACTGATGAATCTCAGTATTAATTTATAGCTATATACGCTGGACTATTTGTATTTATTTTTAGGTAAAGTACAAAAAACTACCTCAACTATTGATGTCACGACACTTTCATACCTCATCTTTTTAAAATGACAATGTCATACCTCATCTTACGAATTTGTGTCAATGTCGTACCTCCGTCAGTTTTTCTGTTAATTTTTCTGTTAAGTGCTGACATGGCTAGATAGGGGGCCACTCACTAATCCAACAAGATTAAAATATAATATTTTAATAATTAAAAAATAAAAAATAATTTTTTTTTATTAAATCTCTCTCTCCTCTCCCTCATCTCTCTCGCCTTTCTCTCTTCTCTGCATCCCCAAAACCCCTTCTCTCTCGCCTTTCTCTCTTCTTTGCATTCCCAAAACCCCTTCCCACCTGACCCTGACCCTGTAACACCCACCCCCTATTTATAAAATATATTGATGTATTTAACCCCTCAACGTTTTCAATATATCTATTGGGTCCTATTTTATCTACCCAATCAGGATCTAAAGCATTGGATTCTTTCTCCCTCAAGCTGCCACGTGGCAGCACCCCAATTATTCCCTCACTTCTCTCTCTGTCCCCCCCCCCACGTGAACCTCTTCCTTCTTCTTCTTCTTTTCTGTTTTTCCTGTCTGTCCCGGCTCTCTCCCTCTCGGCTCTCTCTCATATCTTTCTTCTCTTCACTCAACCGCAAGCACACACATGCACACCATCTCCCCTGGGCGAGGAAGACCCATCGCCATCATCAATCTCATCCTGCTCTCTCTCCCTCTCGTGTCTGCGAACCCAGAAAACCGGAAAGGATCTCCGGCGAGATTTTTATATTTTCCGGTTAGGTAAGCCTCAAATCCCTATCTTTTGTCCTAGAATCTTGTGAGAATGGTTCTAATTGGTTTTATTTCGTGATTTTGGGAGGTTTTTAGGACGAAATCACCACGGGTGTAGGCACACCCATCTCCGGTGACCTCGGGAGTGTCGAGGGAGATTCCGGCCATCTTCGGCCGTTCCACGACGAAAGGAAGGTATAAAAACACTCCCCTCATCTTGCTCTTCGTTTTGATACCTAGATCGGAGTTTAGGGTGGTGTGTGGTGGTCGGCCGGAGCTGTTGAAGATCCGGTGTTTGTTCTCTGGTGAGACCAAGCCTCCCAGGCCAGTTCCAATTCAATCGGGCCTTAGGCCTGTGTGGTGAGCCTAGCCCAACTCACCCAAACCCAATTGTTTTTCTTTTATTTTTATTTAATTAATTGTTTAGGACCTAAAGGCCTTTGGGCCATTATGTTTAGGGCTTGAGGCCCGTGACCAAACCCAAAACCTTTGAAGGTTTTTATTTATTTTCTGTTTTAGAAATAAGGCCTTGGGCCAATTAGAAAGTGGGCTTTCAACCCTTTTCCTTTTAAACCCTTTAGCTTTAGTTTAAAGCCCAAAACCCTTAAGGCCTTTCAGCCCAACCCAAAACCCTAAGCCCAATCTGACTTTGACCTTTGACCAATTGACTTGACTGTTGACTCGGTCAACTGTCAGAGTTGACTTTGACTTTGGCCAGTCAACGTTGACTTTTTGAATTGACTTTTCGGGGTTTCGTCCAGAACCTCTCCTAAGCTAATTTCGACGTTCTGGATCCGTTTTTTGAAGTCTGTTTTCCCAAATTCAATCGTTTGAATAGAGTTTGACTAAAGATATTCCTTTATGTGAATAGGTGCAATTATTAACGGTGATTCCGCTATACCTTTTTGGTACAACTTTGCACCATCGGTGTACGGTGAGTGGACCCCTTCTAAAATGCATGTTTTAATAGTAGAAATGCATACATGAAAAACATGATTTGATGATTACGTTTTATGAAACCCTTTGAGATAACATGCTTATTAAGGCTAGTTTGAATTATTACTATTTTTCCTATAACCCATGTTCTTATAGAATATCCGATGGATGACGATATGATATTTAGAACATGTTTCGAACACCTCTTTATAGTATAGATGATGGATGACTTTATACTATGAAGTTGTTTTTCAATATATATATGTTCAATTGTTTTTCAATAGTAATACTATGAAGTTGTTTTTCAATATATATATGTTCAATGGTTTTGACTTTTCGGGGTTTCGTCCAGAACCTCTCCTAAGCTAATTTCGACGTTCTGGATCCGTTTTTGAAGTCCGTTTTCCCAAATTCAATCGTTTGAATAGAGTTTGACTAAAGGTATTCCTTTATGTGAATAGGTGCAATTATTAACGGTGATTCCGCTATACCTTTTTGGTACAACTTTGCACCATCGGTGTACGGTGAGTGGACCCATTCTAAAATGCATGTTTTAATAGTAGAAATGCATACATGAAAAGCATGATTTGATGATTACGTTTTATGAAACCCTTTGAGATAACATGCTTATTAAGGCTAGTTTGAATTATTACTATTTTTCCTATAACCCATGTTCTTATAGAATATCCGATGGATGACGATATGATATTTAGAACATGTTTCGAACACCTCTTTATAGTATAGATGATGGATGACTTTATACTATGAAGTTGTTTTTCAATATATATATGTTCAATGGTTTTGTACTTACCTAGTGGTCCTTTCCGCTACGGGACATAGGGATAAATTCCGGTCCGTCCCGGGCGACGGTTTGGTGTTGGCATAGGGCCTGGAGTGTGTTTCCTCTGGCTATTTAGCACAGGGACGGGGAGCCGGCAAGGGGCCTGAAGTGTATTTTCCTCTGACTGTCTGCTCAGAGACGGGGAGCCGGCATGGGGCCTGGGGGTTATCGAACAATTCACTAGTGATTATTATATATACAAGTTATGATTTGAGACACTGCACGACATGCTAGGTTTCGGAAAACCTATGTTTATCATTATATATGTATTTGCATAAAACCTGGGGGTTAGTACGTTGATAACTGTTTTACTATTTATATATCAAATTGGTCCACTCATGTTTGTTTTGCACCCCCTTCAGAACTTACAATCGAGGCGTACAATCCCGGCATCCAGGCACTTCCGCATCGGTATCTTCGAGTCCTCTCGCTGTAGGACCCATTCTTTTATTCATTCAATTTTATATTATTCTTTTAGTGTTCTAGATTAGATGTGTGCTCTGAACACTTTCCTTAAATGCTTATTCCTTATTCTTTTATATTTATAAGTTTTATCTATTTCTTGTTTTCAACATTTGCACTCAATAAATGGCTTTCGTCACCCTCGGGTGTCGGCCAACACGTGCCTATCCGGGTATTCAGGGAATATTGGGATCGGGGCGTGTCAGACCCCTTCCCACTCGTCCCCCCCAACCTTCCTCCACCACCCTCTCTCTCTTTTGCATCTCTCTCTTCTCTCTTTCTCTCTGGACACCCATCTTTCTCTCTCTCCCTCATCTCTCTCGCCTTTCTCTTTCTGCATCCCCAAAACCGCTTCCCACCCGACCCCTTCCCACCAGTCCCCCCCCAACCTTCCTCCACCACCCTCTCTCTCTCGCCTCTCTCTATTCTCTCTCTGGACACCCACATGCATCTCTCAAGCCCTTCCCACCCGTCCCCCCCTCAACCTTCCTCCCCCTCACCCTTTCTTCCCCTCGCTCCGTCTTCCCCAAACTCAAAACCAGAACCACCCAACCCAGATCCCACCCCGCTCCAAACTCAAAACTAGAACCACCCAACCCAAATCTCACCCCACTCCCGTCTTCTCTTTCTTCCCCGAAGGGTTTGGACCACACCCAGATTTGACAATTCGTCGACCCAGTGTACATCATCCCATCGTTCAACACTGCTAACGCATTCACGACATCTTCATGCGCCTTGACCGACTCGACGCAGCGGAGATCTGAGTCTTGCCAAATCATCAGGCTCAACGCAGTGGAGATCCAGAGGCATTTCTCGTGGCCCGATGCGGCATAGAAGAGGTTCTGGTTGACGGCGAGGCAGGTGATTGAGAGGGAGGGGCGGCAGGGCGGGAGAGTGGCGAAGCAGAGGTGGGAGACGGATAGGTCGAGGGGCTCTAGAGGGGAGAGTTTTTGGAGGGAGAGGTTGCGCAGAGAAGATGGGAGCAGGGGGAAGAAAGGGTGAGAGGGAGGAAGGTTGGGGGCGACGAGTGGGAAGGGTGGGAAGGTTTTGGGGATGCAGGTGGGTGTCCAGAGAGAGAAAGAGAAGAGAGAGAAGAGAGAGAGGTGAGAGAGAGAGGGGGTGGTGGAGGAAGGTTGGGGGGACAGGTGGGAAGGGGTCGAAGTCTTTTAAATAATAAATTATGTTTAGCCCTATGGCCCTTTGGCCCTCGGTTGGAGACGGTTTTTTGTGAAAGGGCTAAAACGAGCCCTTTGGCCCTCGGTTGGAGACGGAGGCAAATATGGCCCTGTACTGTTCTTTAAAATATTAATATCTTGGAGAATCTTGGAGGGCCAGAGGGCTAAAACGAGCCCTCTGGCCAACCATTGGTTGGAGATGGCCTTACACACTAAGGCAAAACACCAGAAACAGAGACGGGAAAGCATAGAAATGGTACAACAAAAATAATTGCAAAAGGTGACTGCATGAAGGGTAAGTGACTTGAAGTAAAACTTCAGTCTGGACCCCATTTCTAAAAACCAAGCCCCAGAGAAAGATAGGATAGGGTTAACAGTGCAAAAGGAAGCATTGTCGCCTTCGAATTTGAAATCAACAGACGAATATGGCATACACAAGGTTGATGTGGAGTGAATGTAGAATGTGTAGAGTAATTCGGGGTCCCCGAACCGTAAGCGATTTTTTTTCATTGATTGATTGATTGATTGATTCAAGGTAGCTGTAGCTTGCTTGCTTCCAAGTTCAAGTGCTAGCGATAGAATAGGTAGAACACTATGACACGATGACACGATTATTTAATCTGCCTCACCAAATGACACTATCTGTTTTGTCCATGCATTTTTATGTCACCCATAAATGAAATAATCCCCTTTTTGTGATCCTTAAAGTCAATTCATTCACCCACCATAAAAATCAAATGAGTAAAAAACATATTATCTGTGCCTTTATTGTTCTATTTTCTATTTGGTACTCATATGTTCTTCAAATACGACACGCATCCTTACTTCTTTATTGTGAATACTCTTCATTTCATGTTATATATTTTCTTGCCAAAGAGTAAATAGGTAGAAAAATTAAACATTTGTACGTGGCTTTATCAAGAGGAGTTTCAACGTCTACAATAAAAGTCTTGGTAAAGAAAGAAGAATTACACGGTCACAAAGGAGTCTTCACAAGAAATGTTGTGTACAAAGATATTTTGCTACCCCCGAATTCAACATAAGGTTACATTCTTTCTTTTAATGTCTAATTCCCTTTTCAACTTTTAATGCAATTCAATTACAATTAATGCTAATATTTGATTTTAACTAAACACATTAAATTTTCAATAGGATGAAACGATATGAGTTCATGATATGTTTTGTGTCAAGGTCAATTGAAATTTTTGGATTGTTTTTGTACTTTTTATTTAGCTTTTAGTTGCAACTAAATTATACGGATCTTCTTTGTTATTTATTACTTTTTTTTTACATATTCTAGACAAAATACTTTAAATTCCTGCATGTATTATTAGAGATGATAATCGCCTTTATTTTATGTTTCTATACATTGAACCAATCCTAGCATATAAATACATCTAAAATGTGTAAGTCTCGCGTAACGCTCTATGATTAAAAAAATGCCTTTCGCACGCGCGTGAGTGCGTGCAAAAAGGCTAGTGATATCTAAAAGCTCATTAATGTCCTGGGATACCTCCTAAATTATCGATTCCTTGTTTTCTACGTACAATGTTTCGTATTCTATTTTCTTTTTTTTTTTAGACAAACTAACTTACTTTTCCATTAAACAAAGAGACTAATACAAGGAAAAGAGAGAGCCTAAAAAGCATCTCACAACCGAAATACAAGCCTAGCAGGAAAAAGTAAATAAACACAAAGTCGAAAAGGCATAGCTAAAAGACAACAGAAACCTTAAAAATAAAGAGGAAACCAGCAGCCACCACCAAATCTGACGTGCCTCCATCGGAAGGCCACCACCATCAAAAATCAAACCAAAAGCAGCAACTGGATCAACGGAAAATGGGGGTGAGCGAGCCACCAACGTTGTGAGCGCTCCCATAATCCTACCAAATAGTGCAAAAAACACTTTAATAGCCACCCAAAACCCAAGCACGTCACCGAGGAGAAGCACCCAGGGCTGAGTAGCAGTAGTTGGTAGTTGTGGACTCACGACAGAAGGAAACATCGGAGCAGGAAGGTGTCTACAGGTTCCGATCTGAGACAAGCTCAGAGAATTGAGACAAAGGTCAAACAAACTGAGACAAAGCTCAGAGAAAAACAGAGGAGGGAAAACGTGACAGGGGAAGAGAGAGGACTTGATGGTATGGGTAACAGGTTGGGTTGCAGCATGAGAGAAAATAGCGGAGGGGAAGGAGGATGACCAAAGGGCGAAGGTAACGGCCTAGAGAGGAGAAGAAAAGGGGTAGCAGTAAGGGAAAGCCGGCCGACTCCAACCAGAGGAAGGAGTCGGCGGCGAAGGCTGGGAATTTGGGGTGTTCCTGCGAGAGAGAAAAGTAGGAGCGGCTAGGGTTTTGCACTTTTGGCTATCCCATCGTGAATCATTTCGTATTATATTTTCTAATTTTCTGATTTTGGGGTGGAGGGAGTGCTAATATAGTAATTTTCAGGGATTTTGGGTCTTTGTGGGATTTTTTTGGGTAAATTTGTGATTTACAGTTGATTTTAGGAATTGATTTATGGGTTTGGTTTGAATGCACTGACAGAAGTTATTGTTTCTGTAATGCAGATGATGAAAGGTAAGTTTGAAAGGAGAAAGGGTTGAAGTGGTGTCTGGTTAGAAGGAGAGAGATCCATGGCAGTTGGCACGACCATGGCCACGGCCACGAAGAGGAGACATTGTTGGCGATATCGAAGCTTCTCAAGGAATTGATCAAGGAGGAGGACATGAAAGTACAGATTTGGATTTCATCAGCATGACCAAGATCATGAGCATTTTGATTGTCTGCAGCTCTCAGTTCTTGGTATTTCTTCATACATTTAATCTGGTTGAATTTTTTTATTTTATGGGTTTGGAAATTCAAATTTTTTTTTTCTGCAATTTATATTTCCATTGAAGTTTTTGAAATGTTATGTTTGGTTGCCAGTATGATTACTTATAGACTATTTCGCCATATGCATTTGCTACAAAATGTAAACTTATTTTAAATGAAACATGTTGAAGTCTATTTGCATTTGTGTAAGCTATTGTGTGTTGTTAAAAGATAGGGCATCTAGCATACAACACACACGCTATGGGTGTACAACTAAGTTTGCCATGCAAGGATTTCTGGATTTCTTCGATGCCTCTCCTTCAGCCAAACCTCTGCATTTACATGAATTTGTAGATTGCAGAGTCGACAGCATAAAGCATATAGACCGTTAGCAGCTATAGATTTAGTTTTCAAAGCATTTTGAATAGGAAAATTAATGGATGGTAGAGGTAAAACTGAAATTGAAAAACACCAAGGTTAAACATGTACAGTTGAAACCGTACCATTTGTATAATTTTTTCCAAAAAAAAAAGAAAGAAAGAAATTAGGGCCACATGGCTTCGCCAAGCTCACAGCACATACGCCATGAGAAGAAATTTAATGACTATTGTATGTTGCTAAAAGAGAGGGAAGGTAGAAGGTAATGGAAGAAATCTGTTCTCAAAATCTGAAACTAATATTCTCAATGTGTTTGAATTCTCTTCTTTTCGTTGTCATTATTTGGCTTCCTTCTTTCATTGTTTGTTCGTTATACAACTGTTTTACTTACCAGTAAAATCCAACTGATATAGTTTGATATTACAGTTATGAATTCCAGGAATTAGTTAAACACTTAATAATCTAATCAAATTAACAAGAAAAACATATGTTCCCATGCATGTAGAAACTCAGTGGAGATAAAACTACATTTGCAAATGAGGCAGAGCACCAATGAAGTCATTATGGTGCATGTGTTGTGTGGTATAATATAGGAAGTACATTAGTTGTAGGAGTGATAATGCGACTTAGCATGTAAATTTATCATCAAATTTGAAAGATATTGTACACTTATTTTGGAGACCGATATATCATTGTTTGATTTTAGTCTTTTGTTTTTACCTTTTCAAATAGTTGGCCTGCTTCTCTATATTTTCTCATTGCCTCCGCACAAAAGGTCAATTTTCTTTTTTTGTCATTAAAATGTTCTTAGATTCTGGTTATATGTGTTTGGTTTTTTGCTATTGTATCTTTTGGAGTCTGCTTATTTGTATATTTGTTTGCATCTGGTTTTGCTTGGTTGGTCTATAGGTGGCTTGGTTGTATTTTCCCCATTCCTTTTTATCAATTTATTGCTTGGCAATGTTAATTTGTAACTGCAATGTGCAAAAAACTAGGACTAGCAAGAGACAGTGTGCCACGCCTCGATCCTGAGATACGCCCAGAATCGACGCGTGATAGAGTACTGTAGCAGTACAATATAAAATACATGGAGTCACTAAGACTCATACATATAATATACATCAGAGCATCAGCGGAAATAACTTACAACAAAGGAGGCAATCCCTACTCTCAAGTGCACTGCCCTCACAGCTACACCACTTGAAATCTTGTCCTCTAACCGCTACCAGTTACTCTGCAAAATAACCATATGCCGTGGGAATGGCGCATCGGGCAAAGCAAAACCCAGATATGCTACGAAGCTCGTGTGAGTGACAATAATACAATATATGTGAATATAAGCAACATCAAATGATTAAATGTTAAAGTAGTGCTACGTCGACACTTCTTCTGCATACCATATCAACTGTCAATATTATTTCGTCATTCTTTTCGGAGTGTGACTCACCACTCGCCTTTCACATTTTCCGAATAATCACAAGGGTCCAATTACCACATTTTTTCATAATTTAACCACCATACGCCTCATTATATGTATAGGAATGGTTAATCAATTTTGAATCTCACCACACGTCTCCCAACAACATTCTTAGTCATCACACAACCCGAAGTTGTGTAGGAATGAGATTGGTATCTTTTACGTAAGTGCATCTCTTCGTTACGAGTAGGAATGAGTCACATCCGAAACCATTCTCTTTTTAGGCAACACCATCACGTAAACTATTTCATTTGATTATCAATTTCTAGATTGAGCCACACATGCCTTCAATCTCATCTTTCATATATGTAATAAACAATAGTCTAGGTCTATAAAGAGACACAGTTCGGCCGAAGCCTACATTAGGCAACCGATCAGGATGTGGTCCCCCATTTAAAATACGAAATGGAAAAAGCCCAGAAGAAATCATTACATAAAATAAAATTATCCAAGTAAAATTAAAGCATGGATAGAAAAGAAATGAAGGCAGTTTATTCCGACTTAATTAGAGACTTACTGAATACGCTCGAAATCTGCCTCACACTTCACTTCAACTTCAACCCCTATCCTCCTTTTGCCCTTGTAATATGTACACATAAAGAAAAAGAAATCGACTTTAGAACCTGCATCAATACATATCTTGTGTGAGTAGGCATTTCTTGCTTTTCCCCAATCATGCATATTAAAGAAACAAAAAAGAAGAAAATCACCCATATATATAATACTTTAAGTTTAAATGCATCCCAATTTTCGGTTCCAACATCATAGAAAGAATGTCTTATACATAATTAACAGTACACCCGGCATCGGTCCATCCTTTCTTATTAATAGTTATTGTCTGCACAAACCTCAATTACTTTACAATCTATCATCATTGACATATAGTTCATACAAAATGGGACATCATGACCTCTCTTTGGCCAGCAACAATTTTTCCAAAATGAAATCAACTATTACTGCATTAATTATGGGTCCATCTGGGCAATTCACTGAATTCACATACCTGAAAATCTCACCAATTCACTGAATTTACATACAAATGGGAGAAGTACAAAAACAAAGACAATGGCAGAAATTATACCATAAAAATTACACTACAAAAAATTTATAGACCAAAATCCTTGTCAACAGAATTTATTCACATTAAAAGACACACTTTCGGTTCAAAAAACTATCAAATTTAAACCCTGATATCATATGAAAAAATCTTAATTAAACTCACAATCTCAATAAGTCGAAACCATGTTAAGTAAAAGAAACAAATTGAAAAATAAAATTAAGATGTAAATATTGATAAGAATAACAAAAGTGGCAATACTGATATTATACACAGATAGGACAATGAAATATCGGAACCAGTAGCAACAAATAGAATTAAGAAGAAAAAGGGTTCAGGTGGGCTGCCCATTTAAGGTTTGGGTTAGTTTGGTCGGGTTCCGGCCAGCTAAAGCTAGAGACTTGAGAGGGGAGGTGACTATGTTGAGAAATAGGACAGATCGGATTGGGAATATTCGGGTTTTGATGGAGAAGAAGAAGAAGAGAAAAGGGAGAGAAACCCTAGACCCACCTCTGTCACTCTGCAAACTACCCTCACCCCACTCTTATTGATGTAGAATTTTTCAGGTTGACGGCCGAGGGCCCACGCCAACAACACGGATACTGTCCCCATTTAACCACCTGCACAATCCTCAGGTGTTGAGTTTTATCACAAAAGGTCTCGATGTTAGTTAAAGTGGGGTAATTCTATTTAAAGTGTTTTCTCTCTTCCCACTTGGTCGATGTGGGACAATGGGTGTTCCAACACTCCCCCGCACGTGAGACCCCATTTTGTGAGTCACACGTGGAGATCCACACATCGGCAACCATGTGGAGCCAAGTCGGGGCTCACCCTTCACGCGGGGCCAAACGGGGACCCACTCAATCACGTGGCATCTTTGGCCTACGTGGAGCCATGTCGGGACTCACCCATCGCGCGGGGCCAAACGGGGACCCACCCAATCACGTGGCAATACAGCCCCATCCCCTGGCTCTGATACCATGATGAAATTGAGGTTCCACCATAAAACCAATTGGCAGTATGGGGAGTAGCCCAAGATCATATAAGCACATAACAAACATTGTCCCTCACCAATGTGGAACAACTCTGAACATGCCCCCGCACGTGTGCTGGATTTTCAAGCCTACAAGTGAACAACAATTGGGTGACGTGGAGCACGTGTGGCCGTTTGGCTTCACATGAGGACATCCCGCTTTGATACCATGTAGAATTTTTCAGGTCAACAGGTCAAGGGCCCACGCCAACAACACCAATACTGTCCCCACTTAACCACCTGCACAATCCTCAGGTGTGGGGCTTTATCACAAAAGGCCTCGATGTTAGTTAGAGTGGGATAATTCTATTTAAAGTGTTTTCTCTCTTCCCTCTTGGCCGATGTGGGACAATGGGTGTTCCAAAAATTGAGACCGACGGAACACCCATTCTGAACTTCCAAGAAACAATACCTCCAAAAACACTTAATTTGCATGGTTCACAACAGAAAGGGTATAGATGCACCAATTTCACTCTTAAATTCAAAAGAGGAAAAAATTAGGATTAGAGTTTGATGGTTCTCTCCCAAATTTGGTTGTTATCGAGCACACCCAGAGTCATTCAAGTTCGCGCATCATCAAACGATCACCACCCAGACAAAGGCCAAACATGCAACACGAAAGCAGAAAAGCAATGAACATTCTAAACAGACAATGATGTAATCTATTATGTCGTTTAAACTCATACTTATTTTTGACGATCCACAGTCATTTGCACCCTGATTAAAATGAGCATCGGGTATAAGCAGATAGCCACACAGAAAAGTGAATTATCTATTCTAAAAATGAAAGAAATGGGTGCAGAAAGACGAATCAGATACACCCACGTTGATGCGCCAGTGAACCACACAGATATATTCTATTATCTCAGCTCGGATCATTATTTTGGTAAATAATCATCATCCTCTTCTCTTCAGGGGAAGTGGCTACCATCAATCCATACACAAAGACTTTCTTCGTTTTGCCTGCTCTAAATGCATGGCCAACCACCTGCCCGCCCGCCCAAGTGTCCAAACAGAACACCAAAAAGCCTAAATCGAGGTGCGCTCACCAGAGATATACCTTTTCCACATGCATTAACAGAACCAAAGAACACGTTGGCGGTAGGGGAATTGTTAAATGTATCCAACAATCGATGCGAATGGTCCAAGGATAGATCTAGCAATCCCTACATTGTCAGTGTTTTTTGGCTCCATTAAAGTATGTGGAGACGGTTGATTTTCGGTGGGGGCATCCCACCTCTTACTTTCAGAT